GTTGACGGATTGATGTAGTAACGAAGAGTTATACGGCCTGGCAGCACACTATCTGTCAGGGCGCCCTGGAATGTGCGCCATTTAAAATTATATTAAACTTAAATGTAACATAAATAATTTAGGACCAATAATGCCATAATAGTTTGGAAGTTCAAGGTACAATTAACATTTGGCTATACTTCATAAATAAAAAAATAATCATTTTCTTAGTCTAAAATCTAAAACGACAGATTCTTTGTGATGTGATTTTAACGTAATAGAAACATTCTTTTGATATAATTTTTCATTAGGTATTAAACTGAATTAAGCTATAATAGTTTATAAGGGAAGATTGGATCTACAACTGACCTGTAATCTGTTCAAGTTGATGCTGGTAAAGTCGCCGGTGTTGCTGACTTGCAACTTCTTCATGTAATCAATTTGCTCGTCTCGATACTCTTGTAATGATTCGATCACTTTCGCGCACTGTAAATACACAAATATCAAAAATGATATAACAATTCTATAAAACTTCAATGTACGATGAAAATAAAGATTTCCTTTACTACGCCTATTACCTTATCTAAGTTTTTAAGGCGATCAAATAACATTGCTATAATTCGTTTCGAGGTTTGAAAAAGATTGATATCTGCAAAAAGTATTGTGTCTTTTTTTTTCGAACAGATTGAGAAAAACTTTTTTGTTTGACTCATAAGAAAACAGGTGTTGTAATTTTAGGTTTTCTTAGTTAAATACCTTTCCTATAGCTGTAATATTCGAATCAGGCATAAGTGATCCATGCGTCTCTATTCCGTAGCAGTCAACATCAAGTACTGTCAAAGAGAAAAAATATTAAGAGCACTTCCATATTTTTTTTATAACAGAAGGGGCAAACGAGCAGCGGGAATACCGAGGTATCAACGACGCACATGGACATCAGCAATACCAGAGGAACCGCGGATGCGTTGCCTGCCGGCCTTTGAGATGGTGATACGCTATATTGATATTATATTCTATTGATTTTAGTGGTTAATTAGTTCTATTGTAATATCTCATTAGTGTTACATATAGTTATTACCTAATAGCGCTTTATCTTGGTAAAATAGTAGTACTTTGTCTGATTCATAGGAAACTCCTTCGTCTATACCTCCACCGATGGACATGTTTTCAAAATCTTTGCTTTCTATAAAGGGTTGTAGTTTTTCCACTGTTACGCCAATTTCATGATCTAGAAATAATTAATTTAATTAATACAATTAAGTAGCATTTAATGATTATGCTAATGTCTTAGTTGTTACCTCCTTACTATTATAATATTATAAATGCGATAGTTACTCTGTCTGTCTGTCTGTTCTTCTTTCACGCAAAAAACTACTGGACCGATTTAATTAAATTTGATACACTGATAGTCTAGAGCCTGAGAAAGGCTACTTTTTAAAGCGAAAAAGGGGTTGTAAGGATTTGAAAAGGGGGTTGGTAATTATCGACATTTTTACAGATAAGTTGGTGACATTATAGGCATATATATATATATATGTCGGAGGAAGCCATTTTGATTATATTTACAGTAGGAAGTTATAAAGTAGCCATTGTCAAATGAATTACTGTTTAACACATAATGTGCAATGTTTAATGTTTATTGATATTGTAAAGTTACGTTTTTCCACAACGACGACGAATTCAACTTCTATTTGTTATTTTAAAACGGAGAATAAAATAATTGGAACGTACTCACCAAAGTTGACATTATAAAACTTGACCACACCGTCATCTTCTTCTTCTCTTCTTACTTA